TCGTTACATTTTAATTTTGACAGTAAATAGAAAGTGAGAAAGTAAAATTATTTCATATTTGCATTACATCAATTCTTTATGAAATATTTATGTTTTGATCTTCAGAATTTTTTATAAGAAGAAACCTAATTCACTTTCTTTTTAAAAGATTTTATTTATTTATTTGACAGAATAGCAAGAGCAGGAACACAAGCAGGGGGAGTGGGAGAGGGAGAAGCAGGCTTCCTGCCTAGCAGGGAGCCCGATGTGGGACTCCATCCCAGGACCCTGGGATCATGACCTGAGCCTAAGGCAGATGCTTAATGACTGAGACACCCAGGCGCCCAAAATCTAATTCACTCTTAAGTAAGGTTACATGTTGTTCTTTTTAAAAATGAGTATAGGGGCGCCTGGGTGGCTCAGTCATTAAGCGTCTGCCTTCGGCTCAGGTCATGATCCCAGGGTCCTGGGTTTGAGCCCCACATCGGGCTCCCTGCTTGGCAGGAAGCCTGCTTCTCCCTCTCCCACTTCACCTGCTTGTGTTCCCTCTCTCACCGTGTCTCTGTCAAATAAATAAAAATAAAATCTTTAAAAAAAATGAGTATATAAGTTATTCATTTTATAATATTGGTACAATTACTATGAGAAATATTTGACCTGTGTCTTGTAAGCCAAATAGTCTGCTATAAACAGAGGAAGAAAAGAATATTATACTATTGTCACACTCAAACATTATACTGCATAAAATTATTTTCTTTCTCTCAGTCTACCATGTCATAGACCATGGAAGTAGAATTTGAAATAACTTAAAAAAACTTGAAATATAAAGAACTCTAGATGAAAATTGAGTATGCAGTGTTTTCTTTGATGATACGTATTTTTGTATGCCATATACATGCTACATGAACTGATGGAAATATATATGGATAATTATAGAAAGGCACTATGTTGAATTGAAATAAAATTAATGATAAAATGAGCAGCTGTCAAATGCAGTATTAATTTACGTAAGGTTCCTTTGCATCTAGATGTTAGATAATTATTTTTATGCACATGACTAATGTCCATCCCCCTTTAATTTTGTATATTTGTAGTAGCAAAAAGGTAGAGAACATCGAGGGGTTTGAGAAACATTATCCATAAATAAAACAGTTAATTTGGTAAGTTTAATTACCTCTTAACATTTTATTTCCTTTGAAAATCAATTAGTTAAATCGGTTTTTTGTTTTTGTTTTTAGGTTCTTTCTCAGTCTAAAATTTAGTCTAAAAACTGGTTAACTAAATATTTTGTCACCCCTGCAAATATCTTAATTCGGAGCCACCTGAAAAGTGCAACAAGAGCATATTCCTGAATGAATTAGAACCATATTTGTGGTCTGCTTTATTTACATTAATTTGGAGTTGCGTGACTGGGGACAATCCATTGAGCTCTTGAAATTAAGTAGCTCGTTTTTGGCATTTCAAACAGGGACTGAACTCTTCTCCCTCTCTCTCTTGCCCTACTGAAAAATAATGAAGAGAAAAGATGAGACAAGAGAAGGAGGGAGATGTAAGGAAAAAGGAATAGAGTCAGGAGAAATAGAATAGGGAAAGAAACTATACATATTTAATTTGAATAATTTGCTAACAACATAACTTACTAACAAGAATGGAATTAATGACATAGGGCAAGACACTGGTATCTTAAATTAGGTTCTTAAGTCCTAACCTTTTCCACATTACCTGTGGATGTTTTCATTGCACACAGTTTGATTTTCTTATTGCGGTTGAGGGAACAGTGGTGAGGGACTGGATATCCAGGACATTTACCCAAATCTCACACTTCACAAGTGTAAAGGTGGTAAACTTGCCTAAATGAGAGATGTGTTCCAAGTATATTTATGCTAAAGTTGATTAACACAACCTTAATCAATAGTTTAGCTGTAAATAATTTTGAATATTAGCATACCAATTATCACACTTACATAGAATATATTTACTTTTGCTCAGATAATTTAAGTATTTACACTATATTCATATATAGACAAAAATAAGATTTCATAATGCCTACCTGGAAATATATTTGTATGAGATTATGCAACACAGCAAATGGATCAAGCACAAAGAGTAAGCTTAGTTTGCATCCAAATTTTAATTGATGCCTGAAACATTACATATTGTTCTCCAAAATTCTACGGAGAGAATTTGCAGGGTTCCTTAATCCAATCATATACCACTGATATACCCAATTTAATTGTTTCCTCAGCGAACAACCTGAAAAACCAAAAATCAAATACTCAAAACCACACAACTTAATGTTCTATTGTATATGTTCATGTATTGGCTGGGCGCCATGTATAAGGAGAAAGATAATTCATTTTTTAATTCTACACAGTTTCATAATTCTACATGTTAAAAATTTTCAAGTTAATTAGAGCAGGAATGAGTTTACTTTTATCCTCTTAATACACTTGGGAAAAATATAAAAATTAGAAGTAACCTCTTTTCATAAATCATGTAATTGTTATTTTTGATATTAAAATAAAGGTTGGACACCTTAGAAGAGTAGAAGTACAAATGAGCTATCTAAAGAAAGAGTATGTGACAAGATTATGCGCAACAGTGCTGGCTTGTAATAATAATATTATTTTGTAAATCTTTGAAAAATGCATCAACAAACTTTCTTTGGATGCTACTTATATTGTTCAGAACTACATCTTTAATTTCATGTAATTCTTATCTCTTACTTTTTATGCATCAATTAAGAAATAAAACTTAGTTACATGGAAGATTCCACTTTGTATTATTATTTTATAATTTATACAATACCGTTGTATCTACATATAACATTGAGGAAGTGATTTTGACATTGAAAAATAACTCCCATTGTGAAGAATAATTAATAACAACCCCAATTGTGAAGTCAAATGCTATTATTTATTTTTTCTTTTCTAATCCTGTATCTAATATGGAAGAGGTAGATGAAGAGTAAGAGATACTTTTTTTTTCTTTTCATGATAATATCATGGCATTATTAAGCTTGTTACTTTCCCCTTTGAAGAAAATTTTGGAAGGGAAAATGTTGCACAGAATGGGGATAGTTTATTTCACTTGACTGATGTAGGATTACTAATTTTTTTCTTTTTTAATTCCTCAGGGAAACTGTTACCACCTGTTCAATCTGAATTCAAGCGGTTACTGTCAATTTTCTCACAGGCGAATGCTGCCTCTTTGTGGCAGAATGCCATGGAAAGTGCTCTTTAAACATCAAGTTCATGAACAGCCCTTGATGTTGTACACATTTCTGGTGAGATTAGGGGAAGATCCACCAATACCAATGAAGCACATGGCTCTTTAAGTTTCAGATTAATTCAAACATTTCCTACCCTTAAGTACTAACCTAAATTCACTGGCAAGCCTTACTCAGAGTTGAACAGCTTATACCCACGAACTTTTGAACATTTAGGATATAGATCAACTTGAGATAAAGTATCCATCATAATTGTTGAAGGTAGTTTTACATGAGTTAAAATTAGGAAAACTACGGGAATATGGGAAAATTAGGAAACTACAGGAATTGTAGACTGAATAAATAATACTGACATTACAAAATACATAAAATTGGGAGAAAAATGAATAGGCAGTCTATTACTTACCACGGTCCATGTATTAGATGAATACTTCCGTAAGGAAAGAAAGTATACAATTGAAATTCCATTAATAAACACATTAAATGTCACATTTAGAAAAACATAATTCCCTGAATTTTCAAAGGTGAATTTACATATATATACATATATTCAAACTTGATAATTAGGGAAAATTTTTTAATATTAAGAATAAAAGTTAGCTACTATGTCCTAATTGTTAATAACAGAGATTCAGGCGATCACACATAGCTATTTCTTTTGCACTTTAAGTAATCATTACTTCAGTCCCTCATATTTGACATAGTTATCAAGAGTTTATTCAGAAACTATTTAAAAAATTACATGTGCTGGGATACATATGAGACTGTAACAACAGTAGCCCCATCTTACAGAGATCCTGTTTGTGGTTATCATCATTGCTTGCTGCCCAGAGGGATTAAAGACATTGTATAGAGATTTGTACAGTCCATCATTTGGTACATGTGGATCTGTACAAATGCAACTGGGTTTGATTAAACAATCAAAAATCGGCTACAATAGTAGTCAAATCAATACATCATTTTGGTTGACTAATAAAAATACTTTTAAATCTTCTCTAATAAAACCAGAAACTTGCACATGATTCTTACTCAAATGGCCCAATTAATTGCCCTATTTTTTTCTCTTATACAATGGGATACAGTTTGTTTTTAAATTACAGATCCAATTGGGTGGGTTGCACTGGTTTTACGATTTTCCCATTAAGTTCTCCATATTTTTAATGATTGAAAATGCCTTCCTGATATCACTTCAGTTTTGGAAATGCAGCTCCTAATATAGTGCGACACCTCTGTGAAAATCATAGGCTAAATAGTGAAGGAAAGAGAAATGCTAAATGTGTATATAAAAATAGGTGCTACAATAAAATATTTGTATATTTCATCAATAAGTTATTTTGACTAATCAATTATGGATCATATAGCTCTGTAATTTTACTGATTTGTCCACATCTATGGTGATCCTTCTCCAGATCACAATACTTCTGTTTTTAACTCAAATGTCCAGAATGCATATAAACACATCCTTTAAAAAGAAAGGAAAAGTAATGAGGGAGGAGGGTGGGAAGCAGAGAAAGAGAGAGGAAGGGGGGAGGAAAAGAGAGAGAGAACAAACTTTCTATTAATGTTGGGGTGTGCTAATCTCTCCGCAAAAGCCATTTAGACCCACCCATGGCTTAAAGTGGGAGGAAGGAGGAGAGCAGGGAAAGGGAACAAAAGAGGAAGAGTAGAATCTATGCGCTGCCATCTTCCACCATTCTTAGCACTTCCAACCACTACAAAAATAACTGCGACCTTTAACAAGTCACCTGCGCAGCAAACTGCCCTCCATAAACCCTTCTCCTCTCCTCCCCCACACGCAAGAAGAGAAAGTGATGTGCCCAGTTTACACAAATGTTTCCCCCATGTGTAAAAATTAAAAGGAAATTGCACACCCTTTCAGTATCTTCCGCCGAAGCTGAGAATCTCGTGCCAAGGCACTTCACCCTAAACGTTGAACCAGCACAATTAATCACATGGGTTCACCGCGTGTGTCTGCTTGCTCGTTTGTTTTAAATGCAAAAGCTCCAAGGGAGTTTCTCTGCGCTCAGAACTGGCTAAACGTGGTCTGTTTTTCCAGCACTTCGAGGTAGTCCGGCTCAACGTTTAGTTTTGCTTTTAACTCCAGATATTCGTTCCGGTTGGGTTCTACAAAGACAGCACTGGGGGGGCTGTAGAACACCGGTTCCCGCAGCCTGCTGTCCCCTGCCCCCGGGTGCAAATACTGATGGGGGCGCCTCAGGTCATAGTTGGGGGAGAAAGTGTAAGCAGCTGGGCTGCACGGGAATTTGGGATATTCCGGGAGGCTACTGCCGGCGGGGGGGGTGGAGCAGTGTTTGTCTGGTTCTAAAATGCCCCTGTAAAAGCGGTCGGCGTCCTGCACCGGCGACAGGAGGTCCTCCCGGGGCTCGATGGTGCTGACGCTATAGGCGGGACTCCGCAAGTGGTGGCTTTCCCGCCTCTCCTCCTCCCCGGGCTGCAGCTGCAACTGCGGCGGGGGCTGCTGCTGAGGCTGCGGCGGCGGCGGCGGCGGCGGCGGCGGCGGCGGCGGCTGTTGCTGCAGGTGGTGGTTGCTGCTGTAGGTGACCTTGAGCTCGTGCAGGTCTTTGTAATCCTCCACGGAGTTGCCCTCTCGGGAGCGGTAGATGGGGTTTTTGCACATGTGGCCCAGTGGATGGGGGATGTACTCGTACACGTGGCCCGCGGGCGTTTTCACCTTGGGCAGCGCGGGTCCGCGGTGGTGCACGTGCGCGTGCGGGTGGCCTCCCGCGCCGCCGCCGCCGCCGTACACGCTGTACTGCATGTTGAAGGAGCTCACGTCGGAATTGTTGGTGCTGGTGTGGTCGCTCTGGTTCTTCTTCCTGCGCTTCATAACCAGCACGAAGAGCCCGGCGGCCACGAAGACGGACATGATAAAAACCAGCAGCAGGCTGAGAATCAACACGGACAAGGGCACCGAGGACGCCCCCCCGCCCGCGCCCAAGCCCGCGGGGGCCCAGGTGCTGTTCGACCGGACCGCGGGGGACACCGCGCTGGTCCTCGCCAGGACCTGGATGGAGGAGGGCGTGGGCGTGGAAACCACCACGTCAGAGTAGTCTGGGCACAGCAGCTCCGACTTAATGGAGCGCATATCCGTCTCCGCAAACTTCTTGGGCGCCTTGCAGATGACCTCGTCCACCAAGACACCCACTTTGAGCTGCTCGACCCACAGCTTCATGCCCACCACGTCGCAGGTACAATCCCAAGGGTTGTCATGCAGGTCGATTTGGATGAGTGACTTCAGCTGGTCCAGAACTCCACTCACCGGCAAGGAGGTGAAATGGTTACTCCTTAGGTTCAGCCTGAGAAGGGTCAGGCCTGAGAAGACGCCTGAGGGCATGGTCTGCAGGAGGTTGTTATTCAGGAATAGCAGCTGGAGGTTTGGGACCGGATCGAAAGTCCCCGACTGAATCTCACGTATGAGATTGTACTGGAGGAAGAGATACTGCAGGCTTTGCAGGCCATAGAACAACTCCGGGCTCAGCCTCTCAATCCTGTTGCCATTTAGGTAGAGGCGCCTCAGGTTGGCGAGGTCCCCGAAGGCGCGGTCCTGGATCACTGAGATGCGGTTGTTGCCCAGGTGTAGGAGGTCCAGCCCCGTGGCCTCCAGGAAGTCGCTCCTGCGCACAACCGCAATGTAATTCTCCGTCAGATACATTTTCTTGGGGTTGTAGGGCTTGGGCTGCAGCTCTGCGATGCTCTCGATTTTGCGCTCCTGGCAGTTGACGTTGAGGCCCAGATCGGAGATTTGTAGGTTGCAAGTGCACGCGGTGGGACACTCCAAAGGCACCGGAGATTTGGTCTGGTAGGCGATGCTGGGGCCATAGTTGCTGTAGCCCAAGTCCTTGGAGGGCTGCCGAGAGGTGGGGCGCACTCTGGGTTTGTTGGGTTGGCGCGTCCCCTTAGGGGGTTTTAAGGGGGGTTTGTAAACAGCAGAGGAAGAAGTGGCCACGGAATTCACCGAGGCTGGGGTAGTGTGTAAATACCCCGTGGTGCTCAAAGGCGTCTGTGGCCTCATCTCATAATCTGAAATAAGTTTCCTTGGGCAAAGTTCCTGCTTGGACACCTCGTCCAGATCTCGGCCGTGTAAGCGGAAGGGGGTCTCACAAACCACATCCCCCACCAGGGCCGAGTAGGAGATGCTGTCCAACCAATCCTTGAGAGAGATCAGCTCACAGGAGCAATTCCAGGGGTTTTCTTCCAGCTGTAACTCCACAACTTTATCCATGTGCTGCAACAACCCCACATAGGGCAGAAGTTTCAGCCGGTTCCCCCGCAGGTCCAAGTGCGTTAAGGGCACAAAACGGAAAAGGTTGTTGGGTAAACTGGACAAGAGATTGTCATTGAGGATAAGCACCTGCAATAAATGCAGTTTCCCAAAAGCATTGGGTTCAATGACACTGATGTAATTGTAATCGACCTGTAGGTACTCCAGGCTCTCTAGGCCAAGGAAGGTATCATCACGCAAAAGTTCCAGTTTATTATTGTTCAGATGCAATCTCCTTAAACCCCGCAGCCCGTGGAAAGCCCCAGTTTCAATGTCCTGGATCACGTTGCTACCCAGATGCAAAATTGAAGCCCCAGTGTAATTGACAAACTCATTGGGATAAAGACGGTTCAAAAGGTTTCCAGACAATAAGAGGTGGTAGATTGGGAAACGGGGAGGGCTAATTTCAGAGAGGCTGATGATGCCCCGGTTTTCACAGCTCACAGTTAAAATGCCGTCCTTTTCCTCACAAGGACATGCATTGTCACAGATTTCCCCATAATAATCGATGGTTTCTGCACACGAAAGGACGAGAGATGTTAGAGCAAATGCTAGAGTCTGCAGCATCCAGCTATGCATTTTTCTGTGAAGGTCCTGTTCCAAAGTTACTGGGGGGCAGCAAGTGTGCATTTTACCTCCTGCAAGGGAAAGAGGAAAAAAGGAAACAACAGAATATGACAAAAATTTAAGGGATCCGTAAGAAAGTCTCTCTCATCCCTAATACTATTTCTCTGAAATCCAGAACGAGAGGATATGAATGACATCCCCCCCTCAGTGGAACACTGACATTCTTCAGACTTTATTAATATCTGATATTCATTTTGATTTAAAGGTTGATTTCATTTCCTAATGAGTACAACAGGAACATGCTGCCCTCTACAAGATAAGGGCAGGTTAAAGTCCCATTTTAGTGTTTTTCCTTGCTCCCCCCTTTTCAAAATCAATCCATAAATATACATAAAATGGCTGTCAGTTCAGTTTTATGGTTCTAATTTAAGAGAAAAGAAGCACCATTTTACAAGGTTCCCCACCTCACCTATACCAAACCCGTCGTCTGCCTTTCTTTCAGAACCTACTCAGTTAACAGTTCACTGTGAAGGTCTCCCATTTTCACAAAAAAGCAAGGAGTCACAATACTTGGGCTATTTTAAACCATCGCTGGAAATGCCAGGGTGGGAACCTAAAGAATACTTTTCAGGGGCAAAAAAGATGTAAGATAATGCATCAAAAGGACCCAGAAGAAGCTCTTAAATCACCAATTGTCTTTGGGAGCTTTGAGTATGGAGAAAAGGAGAGTGCCTTTGCTTTGATGGTGGACTTCACTACCACGCTTTTAAGCATATCAGCGTCCTAATTGCATGCACGGTGCCACTTAGCAGCGCTTCTCTGAGTGCGCCCTGCTTCCACTTCTCCTCATTGATCATGTCAGCGACGCTACCAAACCGCATCTTTAAGCCACAGAAATAGTTCTGCAGGATGGATTACAAAGAAATCAGCGAAGGCATCCGCAATCCCGGAACACCTCTGGATACCTGGAGTTTAAACAGGACGTTCCTAACGCTTACCGAGAATCAGCTAAAAGTAAACCAAGGACCAGCGCCAAAGCTTCCCTTACCTCCCGCTCAGCGTCTGTTCACCACGGTATGCAAAGCCAACCCTACTGAATTAGCAAGCTTTGGACTGAACTACCACCTCGCCAGCATCCCCATCATCTTTGGAGTTGTTTATTGCATTTACTTGTCAATGTTTTACTCCCCCTCCCCCTCTCCTCCCCCCTTAAGTGAAAGGGAACCCGGGCTGATTAACAGGCAAAATAGAAAGAATGAAGCGAGGGAGAACAGCAAGTGACATAGGTCTGTGCTTTAATATCCGAATTTCATCTCCTCAAGGAATCAATCGGACCCCCTCTTCCTTTTCTTTGTCGATTTCTTTTTTGTCCTCTTAAAGGCTTCCTTCGACTTCCTACTTCGGGTCGACAGCGGTACTCAAAAAGGAAAGGACATAAATGGAGAGAGTGTGTGAGTGCGTGTTGTGTTGGTTGCGGCGGGGGGGGGGGGGGCGACGGGAATTTGATAGAGATGCTGGGCTCTGAGAACCCACGCCTTTTCTCCAGTCAGCCTTGCCTTTGCCTCACCACTACCGAAGTCTGATGTCGAATCGCAACCCAAACTAAAACCAAGACGTGTCTGAGTCACGGGTTCAAGCCCGGAGACCTCGATCTTGCTCCCCTAGCCGAATCCAGCCCGCGTTATTAAGAGCCCCTGCATTCGCACGCACATGTGCAAGTGTGCTGAGAATCATTCACGTGTGGCCACCCAGACGTGTCGAGACGAGTCGGAATCACAGTGTATAAACCTCACAAGTATCTCCGACCTCCCAACGCAACCGCGAACGACTCCTGGCTTAAAAGAGGCAAAACCCCCACTGTGGAAAGCAAAGCATTTACCTTGAAATTTCTGTTCTCCACTGGATCAAATCTGCCCATCCATTCAGCGGGGGTCGGGTCCCCTCCCCCTCCTTCCCTCTGCTTCCCCGCCCCCATTCACCTCCCACCCTTTCTGACAGCCCATTGCAAATTGTGTCCAGCCGGTATTAAACTGGAGCGTTTACAACTTTAATTCAGTTCTGGTTAGCCGGGGTCGAAGAGCTTCCTCTCACCCCGCTCTCTTTCTCCTCCTCCTTGCCATCAAAGGAGCCCGAGAATTTGAGAAAATAAAGTTGAATGAGCCGGGGAAGGCTGACATTCTGACTGGGAAACGCACCTCCTCTGTAAATTAGCGGGTGCGTTGCAAATTCTTCGGAGTATCTCATCTCAGATTATTTTTTTGGAGGGCGGGGGCGGAGGAACTGTATTTGTTTGCCCCAAAGGATTTAGACCCTAGACCATCGCCCTGCACATCCCGCATTGAACAGTGTGGGACTGCGCGGGCTGGAGCCCAGCACCCAGGCCGGACCCGTTGCTCTGGGCACAGCTGCTCCCACAGCGGCCCAGGCAGAAGCACCCGGAGTTCCAGGACGTGAGGCTCCCTTCCCCCACTCCGCCCCAAAGCGAAGGAAGAGAAAGGGAAGGAAGGAGGAGAGGGAAAGAAAGCCACCCCGCTGCCACACACACACACGAGCCTCTTCTGCGAAGTATACGGTCGACTTACCCCGTCTCACATCTCCATGGCCCACTCATCGTAGCCGCCCCTATAAAAAACACCTCTTTGGGGTGTGCACTGGGCTTCCCGAGCCCAGGCAGGGCAAGAAGGCGGCGAGCAGTGCGGTCCGAGCCGCTGGAGGAAAGAGGCGCCCGGACGCCGCCAGCCCGGGGCCGCCGCCGCGGTGGCGACCGCGGGTTCCCGGGCTCCCCAAACGGCTCTCCCCGGCACTCTCCGCGGTAGTCGGAGCGGACAGCGGGGTGTGGGGGGAGGGTAGAAGGGGGCGATCGCGAGCGGCCGGTAGGGATGGGAGGAGGAGGAGGGGGCGGCGGAGGACAGGCGGTAGAGGCTCCTCGCGGTCGGGGCCGGGAGCCGGAGCCGGGCGGGGCGGGAAGGGAGCTGTTGGAGGGGGGAGGCGCGGAGCCCGAGGAGGGGACGTGAGGGCTGCCTGGCACCGCCGGCCCCTCCAACGTGACGGGCAGCCCCGCCGAGCGATCGCACCCGCTCACACTCAAGCTCACTCGCATACTCGTTCCCACCCGCGCCACCGCGCGATCGCAGGGTCCCAGGCACCCTTCGCCGCACTCCCCAGGCGGGTACTTACAGTTGCCATCTGCATAAGGGGCAACTTTCTCCAAGCCAGCAGCAGCCGCCGCCCCCTCCAGCAGCCTCCGGCTCCACGCACCCTTCGGCCTGGGGTCGCGCTGGCCGCCCCTCCCCTCCCCCCTCGGCGTTCCTGCTCGCCGTCTTCACCACATTCCCCCCTGGTCAGTGGCGCACGCCCGGGGACTAGCCAGAGGGAGCCGGGCGCGGGGGTGTGCATGCATCGCCCGCCTTCTTCTTGCAGCGCACGCTGTACATGGTAGTGAGGGGGCGAGCAAAGGTGGCAACGGCCCCTCGGCTACTCCCGCGGCGGCTGCGGCTCCTGCGCCGTCCTCCACCCCCAGCGCAGCGGAGACCACCGCGGCGGGATCCCGCCGCCGCTGTCCCCTCGCCGAGTCGCCGCCGCCGCCGCGGCCCCTAATTAGTATTTTTACGGTTCCCGCATCCTCTTGGCGGTTTCATCGCTCCCAGTGTTTGCAGGGGTTTTTCTCATCCCTTCCCCAGATGCGGCGCACGATCGTCATTATTTGGAACTCTCTATCTCCGACATCCTTTAGGGGGCCTGGGGGGACAGGAGCAGCGTTGTTCTACGCCTGTGGCGTGTCCCGGCAGCCTGGCGGCTCTAAAATACTCAGAGAAAATCGCGTCTTCCCTCCCCGGCGCTGAAGATGTGGCAACACGGCAAGCATCACAGGGGTCTCTGAGACATCTGCTCCAGCTCGGGCACAGGGCCCCGTCCAGTGCACTTGTTTATTGTCGCGCCGCTGGTGCGAGCCAAGCTGCAGCAGACATGATGGGCCCGGAGCGAAGCGGGCGCTCAGTGGCCGATAGATGGCAGCCGAGGGCGAAGGCGTCTCTGGATTCGGGCGGTGCAATCGGAGCACCCCTTGGATGTCACATTCGTGGGAGACGGAGGAGTCTTGGACCATGTGCGTAACACAAGCGTGGGACTGTGCAATCCTTGGATTGAAAAAGGGAGGAGTGGAAATAACCCCGACAGTGCCAGGCTTGTTGGTGGTCAGGGACAGACGATTCCAGCCCTGTGCTGATCGCCTGCCTTCCTCCTGCCTTGTAGAAGAATAGAGCCCCTGCTTCTGTCTCATGTACTTACTCTAAAGGACCCTGGAAGAGGGAGTGGTTCATCCTAGCTGCAAACAAGGGCGCTAATATATATATATATATATATATATATATATATATATATATATATATATATATATATATTTATTTATTTATTTATTTATTTATTTATAATAAATACTAAAAGAAATGCGTGTTATAGGTATGTCTGAGCGATGCAAGGGAATGTGAACGACTTTCAGAGAGAATGTTTGTGAATACATTTGGTGTGTACTAAAAAGCTGGAAACCCCTAAATAAATGCAGTATCGATAGAAAGCGAGTTTCTTGAAGAGTCACCTGCTAAACTCCACTAGCATCATCTCTACAGTAAGTATTCCTGTCTCTTTCCATGAAACCAGACACCTCCCTCCCCAGAGGGGTTCTTTACATTCATAGGCATATTTCTAGTGTTTGTAATATTAGAACTGCATTCCTTCCCAGGTATAGAAAAAAAGTTGATCGCTGTAAGTGGCCCAGTGGAGGCTGAGTGCACATGTACCTATTCTATGATAACTGGGTAGTTTTACCACTTAAATATTTTTATCTGTTTTATTTTATGATTAATTATGAATTAATTACTTTTTGGAATCATCTTAAACAGAATAGATATTGTCTCCTTGGTAATATTTGGGATACTATTGTGGGTATAATATCTTAATTAAATATAGGATTATAAAGATTCTGACATATATACAAACATATCTTCCCACATCCTCTCTCTGTGTTGAAATTAGAAGGAGTTCTCTAGAGGTGGTTTATATTGCAGTCTCTTGAGGTTTTGCAACATTTCTTGAAATTTCTTCTCACTCTGTTTTGCAAATATTTTTCAGTTAATCCATACATGCTTTGTTTGAAAACAATTTATTTTGTTTAAATTCAGGGCATGTACAAGAGGGGGAGAAAAGAAGTAACCTGTAATATTTGATAATGACAATAAAACCTTATAAAAGAACTTCCTGTGAATTTAGAAACATTTGGCACTGGGAATGATAGCCACTTGCTGCAGTTACCTTATATAAACAGACAACTTAAACTTCACCCACAAAAGTCTTTTACTGTATATTTTATTTAGTCATCGTTTTCTAACATGATATGAATATTTTAGAAAACTTATTTTTAAAGTATAATATTGCTTTTATATTTTTAAATGAATGTGTTAAAGTGTCATAACTTAAAAAATACTGTAAAAATTATTTACATTTGGAAACTTTTGGCATTCTATCACAGACGTAATTTTCGATGTGGACAAATTCCATAGAAGTTCTGAAAGGGTAGAAAATGGTTTAATCAATTACTGGACTTTTCAGAATAGCTTTATAATAGCTATTTTAGTTCATTCTTTCATTGCTTTTTTAAATCTTCATAATTGTATTTAGTATCAAAATTTGGTTTAATTTTTGATTTTGTATTATTTTCATTTTAAATATTTATTATCCCAATTAAAAATAAATTTTGTCGAGGTAAAATGTATGAAACATGCTTGCAATTATTATAGATGCTGGTTTTGTTAGAAACACTGACATAAAAATATTCCAGTTTATTTCTTGTGGTCCAGATGAGTAAGTGATGACAACTCTCTACTGTTAACTCATTAAGGATAGCCTGAGAAGCCACCGTTACGGTTTACCACTAGGTGTCCCTATAAGCTGCTCTGCAGGAGAGTGAATTTTGAGAAAATACTGTGACATGCAGAGACTAAACAGAAGAACTCGGGAGGAAAAACATCATAGAAATAAGGAAAATCCTTATTTGTTAGCCTTTGGACTCCTATTTGCTTTGAATATTGGACTATGGCCTAGAAAAGAAATAAATGAATCATGTAACAGTGATCAAATCTGAGCCAAGACTTTTAGCTACAAGAACAAACATATCTATGTTTCAGGCCATACTAAAAAATATAGTCGTATGATATATATACTTGCTTTCACACAGTACTCAAATGAAGGCACAGGATTACATAAACACTTTGGAAACTAGAAAATGAAATGACTGATCAAATAGATCTGTTCAGAATTAAGGGCATTATGCTAAATTAAACATTATTTGATTCAGTTGGTTGGATGTGAAAAGTTGAAAATCTTTGTCTAAATGTTTGTGAATATAGTTATGCATATTTTAATTAGCTCATGATCTATCATCATAGATAGATTTCATATATGTTAATATATTTGGTGATAATTAGTGGGAATTATGGACATAATCTGATACCTCCTTATTAAAATTTAAATTCAAACCACAATGAGCATACTTCTCACTTGAAATTGACCATACATTTGTGTGAGTTCATATTTATTATTACCTGGAATTGTCATTTTAGTGTTTTATGGACTCTTCGGAAGAATTCTTATATTAAGTGCATTTCTTAAAATATCTTATCATATTACATTTGTGTATTGTATGGTTTCTTTAGAATACTAAAATGCCTAGTCAAGTGTTATATTCCCTTATGAAAAAACCTAAAAGAGATTATTCTTTGGTAATGATAATGACATTTCGTAAATACTGATTAACATTATTGAAATCTAAAGCAAGAAGACCTTGAATTTCTTTTTGTTAGCCTAACTGGTGAATTAAGATTATAAAATGTAATGCTAGATTCCAGACTCCTCCAAAATTAGCTCTAATAGATTATTTTCATGTTAGTAGTAGCTAAAGAAGTCTATACAACCGTATTTGCTAAACAACACACTTTTCAGATATAAATTATATTTTCAATGTCTTTGAAATTTAAATTATACATACCACATATCCCTAAAAGCAGAAAAGTTTCTCCTGGTGGGAAAAACATGAGTCATCATTTATGATCATTTCTCTATGTAATTGATAAGCTAAATAACTGTAATATAGCATATTTTTTATCAGATTGGTACATTCGGAATTACAGCAATCAAAATTATCATACAATGATATTTATCAAACCCAAAATGGTTAGCTAAACTGGTTAATCTCACCAAGATTATTTATTCTCTTATAGACTTAATTTGTTATTTACAATCTTAGAAATTTACTGTCAGTGGCAGAAGAGAAAGATGTGCATAAAATAGACAATTTTCTTCCTTGCCTCATACAGTTCCTTATAAATATACTCTGATAATCTTTTGACTGATTATGTATTAAAACACTCTCTTTGAAGGACCAATTGGAAATATCTTCCAAAATTTAAGATACATTTTTTAACAATTATCTTTTAGAAAGTAGCCTACAGGTGTACCAAAATAAAATGTACAAAACAATAGGTGAGAAAACGTTCATTGTAACACATGCTTGCATTTGTAAATGACTATAAGAACAGCCCACGTGTCTAAGTGAAAAGTGGTACATCTCCGTCTATACCTTGGAATACTCTTCTGCCTTTAATAACAGTGTATTTAAGTATATGGTTCTGTCATTATTGATAGTGTGTATAACATCATCTATATACACTGTTGGGTGGGGAGGAGAGAATCTTTCTGGAAGGATACACAAATTCAGTAATGGCGTTTGCCTTTTGGAAGAAGACTGGGGAGTCTTGAGTAGAATGAAGGTTTTTCACCCTATATTCTATTTTTTATTATTTGAAAATTTCAATTTCTATGCACATTTCCATTAAAAATTTTTAAAAATATATGTACTTGAAAAATAGGATATTACAGATGATCCCTGACACACAATGGTTTGTCTTAGGATTTCAACTATACAATGGTGTGAAGGCAATACACATTTCGTAGAAACTACTTGGAATTTTGAATTTTGATCCTTTCCTGGGCTAGTAAAATGTGGTATGATTCCCTTTTGTGATGCTGAGCAGTGGGGTAGCAAGCCTCAGCTCCCAGCCAGCCATCCCCAGTCATAAACAACCCATACACTTAACAATCATTCTGGGATGCCTGGGTGGCTCAAGTGGTTAAGCGTCTGCCTTTGGCTCAGGTTATGATCCCAGGGTCCTGGCATCAAGTCCCGCATTAGGC